ATTTTTAAGTATAAAATTTAAAAAAAAAACAGTAACGGTCAAAATGACCGCTTTGGGCGTTCTAGGTCATGAAAATTTCCGGGCGTTCTAGTGTTAATAAAATTAATGCAAGATTTCTTTTGTATAAAACTTCTTAAAAACCGATAACCATTGAAAATTTATTTGATTTTAGTAATTTTCAGCTTTTCGTAGATTGAAGGACATCCTCCTTCAATGGTTCCAATATCGCTGCAATCATTTTTGGAGTCAAATCTATTATTGAGTAATTCAACATAAAAAACGTCATTTACCAATTTCAATTGGCACCAGTAGAGTTTCAATATTCGATTTCAATATTAAAGAAATTTGACAATCAAATTATATTGCCACTTTGAACCGCACAAAAAGTTAAGCATATTCTGTAGGTTTTAGATTTTTAATACGACATTCAGAGTATACTAATCATTCATCTTCTTCACCATAGAAATTTTTAAAGTGCTTTTCTTCGTCTTTCGAATGATAAAAACATGAAATCTCTGGCATTAATTCGATGAATTCTTCGTCTCTTTTTTGTTTTGCCTAAACTAGTAGGATTTGACAGTTGTACTAATTAGAATTTTATTCTACTCAAAACATAAAAAAAATACATCATAAAATCGTGATTTATTGAATTTATTTCTCCCAAGTTTCCTAAGCAGGATAAAATATTAATTAGTTGGTTGTACAATCTTATTCATTCTAGAATTTTTTGTTATGAATACTTTATGAAGTAAACGGTGTATGATGCGTCAGTCACAAATCTGTTTTCTTTTTGTATACATCTATTAGTTCATTGAATTGATTGAGATGAACACATACAAATTAAGGTATGAATAATTTATAACTTTAACAATATTGTCCTTTAGAATATGCGTGGATAAATCATTTACTGTTTTTGATCAAAGTTTAATCCAGATTTCTCTCTGCTTTTTTACCCATTTTACACTGGACAACGGTGCACAAGCTGGATTTTACTTTGGTATCACTTAACACAAATTTTTCCAAAAAAAGATAAATAAATCAAAACAAACGACGTTCACTTCGTCTGTGAATGAATGAATTGCGCTTCAAGCGCATGGTACAGGTATGATCAAAATGCATTTGTGATGCATTTTTCATTATAATACAATTGTTACAAAAGAACCTTCTTTACATATAACGTACAAAAAACAAGTTACTTATCTATCTCTAGTACTATTTTCTTGTTGTTCTTGTTCTTCCTGGTCCTCTCTGACTAACACGAGAGCTTCCGTAGTAAGTCTGACAACCACCGGACCTAAAAGAGCTCCCCATGGACCCAACATCTCAATTCCACCAAATATCGATAGTAACAATAGTAATGTCGACATTTCTAATGCTCCTAATTTTGAGAATAAGGGCCGCAATAGATTATCGATCGATCCGATAACCAAAACTCCAACACCGACCATAATGCCTGCCTTGACATATTGACTTTGTAGAATTAGGCCGATAGCGATTGGAATCCATACAATGGCTGTGCCGATGATTGGAACCAACGCTGCAAGTCCCGTAAGTAAACCCAAGGTAAATGCACGTGGGATACGTAAACATGCATATGCGATAGCTGCCACAATTCCTTGAACTAGACCTGAATATTTAATAGAAATTAGAAAGAGATCAGACAGAAAATTAGCCTACTACTTACATGTTAGCCCGACACCTATTAGAAGACCTCGCCCAGTCTCGTGAAAGGCTAACGATAATCGGTTCATGTGTTTTGGCGATAGTGGAGTATGCCGGATGATCCATTGCCATAGCGGGGGGCCCTCTACAAGAAAGGTGTAAGTAGCGATAAGAAATATCAGTATTCCAATGACGAATTGCGCTGTTGCATTAGCCACGACTCCTAGTACATTTAGTGCTTGTCCGCCAAAACTTTTGACAGCATCTGTTAGTTCTTGTTGGGATAATAGGCGTTGAATGAAACTAGTAGCGTTTGTTGATGAAAAATCGAATAAATCGGATGTCGAATTTGAAGTGGGCGATGAAGGTGGTACGATGAAATTGATAGCGTTTCGTAAACCTTGAGATTGACTTAGGTGTAAAACAAGATTAAACGCGCTATTTGATAGTGCAATGATGATCAAAATAATCGGTACTATGACCAGAAGCACAATAACAATGATAAGAGTGGCTGCTATTGCGTGAGAACGTGTTTCTTTGGATGTCCGCTTTTTGAGTGGAAGATACCGAGCGAGAAAGTCCATCAATGGACGAGTAATAGTTGCTAACCAAACCGCGAGAATAACGATGGATATGTAGCGATAGGTGATAAATACGGTGAGTACTGATAATAGCAATGCACACCATTTCATCAGTTTTGCTCGACTGTCCAGCATTTTATTGTTCAGAGATGATGTCTTTGGTANTCAGAGATGATGTCTTTGGTACAAGGATCTGACCGTCACTAGTTAAACTCAATATTGTTTCATCGGTATTGAATTCACTCGATGCACTAGGTACTAAATCATTCATTTTTGGAAATTGAATCGTAGTCAAATCAATCATATGAGATTAATAATTGATTACATCACTCTTTATTCTCACCTATAATAGACATTAGCGTAGTGGTAGGAAAACGATTTCTGAAGGTCATATAATTGATGTAATCAGCGAAAAATAGACTTTTTCGTTCAACATGGACATCTTCTTACTGCCTGCTATACATGCATATTAATTTTTTCACCGAAGTCGTGTACTGCAGTTTTTCTTCCTATTAGGCTGTACATTTCTATATTTGAAACCACTTACGTGACTTTTGTTTTTTTATTTTCTGTGAAAAAATATGTAACCAATTTGTCGTGTCTGCAGAATAAATGAATAATATTTTTTATATGCTGTTATTTCTTTCACTACTATCGTCGAAGAAGAAGAAAGAAAACAGAAAAATTTTGTGCATCATGCCTCTTTTTTTTCTAGTCTCCCTGTCTATTCTTTCTCTTAATCCATGGAGCATTCGGAAAAAAAAAATGTGTTTCTTTCTTATTCTGTTAACATATGTCTCCCATTGATTACTAATGAAAGAAATAATAGAATACAAAAAATATTATTCATTTATTCTGCAGACACGCCGCATTGCTTACATATTGTACATATATAAGCCTCTATTGGGAATAAAATCTACCTTGAAGATTCATATATCGACAGTTTCGCGTTCTCGGTGCTAATTTAAAAAAATTAGCAAAAGTCAAGTTCACAAGGAAGTAAAAGCTCCTACTCTCATCTACTGCGAACTTAAAACATTATCAAAAGTCAGGCTTGCAGAAAAAATAAGGGCTCTTACTTTTATCTACTTTGGTGCCCAGTTTTATTAGTTACTTTCGAAGCGTATGTAGAAAGCCAGGAAACTTTTTTCTTTTTGTGTGCAAACAACGAAACTTGCTTAGTACTAAGCAGAGAGTAAGAGCGCTTATAGTTCGACTAGTGAATGTATGAAAAACTAGCAGTATGAGACAATTTTTAGGTCCGTCAAGTATACAGCTACTTTTTGTTTTAATGCATGGCTGAAAAAATCCAAGCCAACACATTTTATGCAACTGCGCTTTCAAAATTAGCTAAAAATGGTTGGTATTTCGAAATGTATGTAAGAGATTGTCAAAATGAAACGTATTGTGAGATATATCTGCTGTAATATTATCAAATGTCTATTGAGTTTGCAAAATATACACAGATATTTTCAAAGTCATTCAGTTTTTTCTTACATCTTTGTATATATTGTGTCATCCTGTTTAATGTTTGCAATCCGCAGCAGCGAGCGAAATTACTTTTATTCCTACAAGGCCTGCCCACGTAACGGTCTACTTTTCGGTAACTAAGTCCCTTGTCATGAATAGGCATGCACCAGTTAAAAACTGGCGTTAGGACTTCCACGAAAATTGTTATAAATCGGCTATAAAGATTTATTCAGAGTGACGGAATCTCGCTTTTGTAGAGAAATGTCTGGACTATGATTCCATATAAGTAGAAAAATTTCAACGTTATCTGTGATACAAATATGAGCATTCTAAAATGCACTAAATACAGAAAGAACTCTGTTCGAACAGGATTTTTTTCTAACTTTAGTGCATTTTAGAATGCTCACACTTTTTCTGGAAACAACTTAAAATTCTCTTTTATAGTTGAGTTTTCAAGAGTAAACATTTCTCTACAAAATGAGTGATCCGCCATTTTAAGTAATCCTTTATAGGCGACTCATAACAATTTTCGTGGAAGCTCTAACACCAGTTTTTAACTGGTACATATCTAGTCGACAATATTTTAGTTCTGTGAGGAAAGCTCTTACAGAGCTCCGAGACGTCTCATTTGAAGAGCAAACATTTTTCTCTAAAATGATAATTAAGTAAACGTGGATAACTGAATGGATTTCAGGATAAAGTTTTTCAAACACAAGCTACATCTTTCGAATAACACGTTAAGTTTACAGTCTGTGTACGACCACGATGTTATATACTAGCCTCCGCTTAATTATCATTTTAAAGAAAAATGTTTGTTCTTCAAAATGAGACGTCTCCGAACTCTGTAAGAGCTTTCCTCGCAAAACTATAATCTTGACACATGGTGACTGACTTACGAAAAAGTGGACCGTTACGTGGTAGATCGTACAAATACAATTGTAGTATAATTGTACAAAAGAGACAAGAAGAGTCACGTTTCTGAAAGAAGATTTGCATTGACGGCTTATGTTCCAACTTGTGCAAGGCTTGCAGCTGTATTTGTTGAAGAATTTATTTGATTAAATAATACAAGATAAAATGTGGATGACTTCGAAAAATTAAATTAACAAAGTGAATATTTGTATGGCGCTAAAAATGAAAATTTTTCTTCGAATATTTGTGACTTTATTTCAAATAATAAATTGTTGTGTGTCAGCATTTCCTCCGCACGGCCAGATAATTCTGCTACCGAAGTGAAATTCGGCGACGAAATTTTGATATTTTGAGGTGTTTACAATTTTTAACAAAACCATGTGCAGTACTGTGGAACATCTAGAATTGTAAAGCAAACATTTTTCTACAAAATCATCGGAGTTCTATGCGTTTCTTTGTTTAAAAAAACAAATACAAAACACCCTTCTCAAGTTT